TATGGTAAAACCTGTCAACTCGAGAAGAGGCTGTCTAGATGGGTCGACACGTCGATGGGAAGTAGCGAAAGTGCAGAATGCCCCCCCCCGTCGCCGAACAGCGCCCTGACGTTTTATAATACTTGAGGCTGTTGAGTGTGGTAATTTCAGGACCTTTCTTTGGAGTCGTTTGAAAATTGGTTGAAGACAAAGGCTGAGCTGGGCCCGATGAGTGAAGTGGAGCAAGGTGAGTATGGACAGATGTCAAGAGGGTTGAACAAATAGTTTTTTTTCCGCGCTCAATTTGGTGTTCTCTTGAAACGTTCTCGAATGTCAAATTTAGAACTTCACAACGCTCACCAGGAACGTGCAGCGGTTGCTCACGCCGGGCCACAGCATATGAAAGGTGTTGCTTTTCCGTTGGATCGAAATGCTGAGGATGCAGTGCGGAAGCTAGCGAAGGGACAGTTGGCCCTTGTGCAGTTATCGGTTCGTTCCTTTCGTTCGTGTATTTATGTCGTTGATTTTATATTTCTTATTTTTCGGTGAGCTAATTGCCTAGAGAAAAGTGAGGCCAAGTCAATATGAATTGTGATTTCGTCTTTTTTTACCTTTCTCTGAAGGCAGACTGTGCACTATTCCGCGGATTCTGGTCCCTGCCATGAGCGAGGTGAATGGGTTTGCAGCTGCAGTAGCGTGCCACTTTCTCCGGCCAAATGTTCACGGGAGTGACTGGGAGAAGGGCAGGAGAATCTTAATTTGCCGCTCCGCCACGCGCGGCGTTTTTTAACTCGTGTTAACCTGTCGATGGAGCACCGGACTTCATGTAGACCCCGTCATCGTAGACATTCATGACTATTTTCGGTTCTGAATTGCCTGTTGTCGCCATCTACTACCTGGAACCATCGTCATTTGCGGGCGCGACGTCGCACGCGACGCCCATAGGGAATTACGATTCTCTTGTCACATACCCGGAGTGACATCCGGTTGCCGTCTCTAAACTTGGTCCGTGCTGGGTGCGTGACAAGAGAATCGTAATTCGCCGCGCTGGTGGCGTCGCGTGCGACGTCGCGCCCGCAAATGACGATGGTTCCAGGTAGTAGATGGCGACAACAGGCAATTCAGAACCGAAAATAGTCATGAATGTCTACGATGACGGGGTCTACATGAAGTCCGGTGCTCCAGTCGACAGGTTAACACGAGTTAAGAAAACGCCGCGCCCATCGCCGCGCGCGGCGGAGCGGCAAATTACGATTCTCTTGCCCGTCTCCCGTCCGTGCTACGGGAAACGCGCTTCTTGTTTGCATTCTCACTTACGGTTTTCACTAATGCTAACTGCATGATTCCTGCGCGATTTTCCTCTCGACGCGATTTCTTACAGTGAGGAAGGCGTGGGCGGAATGGAGAGAGTGCACTGGTTGGCTGTGTCTAGGAGCTTGACTAGGCGTGTAGTAGCGCAAAGCGGAGTGTGGAGTCGGCATGGGGTACCACTTTTCCCATCACCTCCTCCGTTCCTGTGCACTTTTGAGCGGACGAAGTGTCGCGCTACTGTAGCTGTGGGACCGCTCGCACTTGGAAAAGGCCCTTTTCGGAGGTGTGTACAGTGGTGTTCGAATGAGTAAATAAGGCACTGCAGTAAAGGGGCTACGCGGCGGCAAGACTAGATATAATCGTCTGCGCTCTTTCACCGAGTTTTTGGTCCTTTTCTCAGTCTGAGTCCTAGAACTTCGCAGACGACCAGAGTCCGATTCGATCCCTAAACCGCAACCGCTTTTAGCAATAGGCATTCGACATCCATTTCCTTCACCTTCTAACATGGTTAACGTCACAGTTCGGCTTTGTGAGGCATTTTGCTGGTTCTCGCGCTCCTGTAGAGACGTGTGAATTCCTGTGAAGCTATGCGATAGCATTAGCTTCATTTGCACTTGACGAGAGTCTACAGGGCGTCAAGTTAAAACGTGTAAAGCAGCAGGAAATAGTGAATCAATCTAGCGAAAGAGCAAAATGCCCCTTCCCCCCCCCTCTAAGCCAAACAACGCCAGATTCACGGTTATTTCCTCTAAATAGCTTACTTTTTTTAGTTTTCTACACTCTCCTCCTTCCAGTAGGCAGCGTTCAGACTTCGCGACGGCAGCGCTTCGGTCGCGCGTTCGGCGCGATCGATGCGCATGCTTTCTACTGCATCGATCGCGTCGAACGCGCGACCGAAGCGCTGCCGTCGCGAAGTCTGAACGACGCCGTACCCGTCATTGATCAGACCTAAACTCATGTAGTCTATCTAAGTTTACTCTGTCTTTCTTTCTCGTATAGATGAGATACCTTGTGCTGTAAAAGCAGTTTCTGTTCCAGGTTGACACATTGAATGAAGCGATAAAACTGGAAGCAACGGAAGAGACATTGCCAGCAAGTAGGCTAGCCAGCAAGAATTCCTCGAGATAAACCGCGATATACGTTCTTCCGATTTCAACACAATAGTGATGGCTTTCCAAAGACCTCCACATGTAAGTGCCCTCTGTGTTTACGGTGGGCGTTTTGCAATTGAATAACTCCCTATACGAGGATATTGGATAGATAAAGGCATGGCCATGGTTGCAGCCGTTCGTTCAATATCACTATAATTTGAAGTTTTTATGGGGAGAAGCGAGTATGAATTGCTGTTAAAATCTGGCGGGCAGTTCGGCTAACGGGGGGGGGAGCATTTTGCGCTTTCGGGGTTTGTGTTCATTGCTCAACAAGAATTGACGGGTATTCTTCACAAGAGTCGACAAGTAGTTTCTACAAACTTTGACGGGCAACACTTCATGGCAAGATCTCACAAATATCCACGTAATGACTCCACACGACGTTGGGAAGTAGCGAAAGTACAAAATGCTCTCCCTCCTGGCAGATTGCGCGCGAAAATTGTCCGCAAGGTCCGCTATTGGCGGCTTCTTTTGCCTGATTATTGAGGTTGATAAGAAAGTGATGACCCATTTAAAAAAATTTTTCTGCTTTATTTTAGTACTCAGCATACAATGCAAGCTACTCAACAATATAATCACCATTATTAGTGACAACAGTCTCCCACTTAATGGGCAGGTCAGCGATCCCCTTCTCCCAGAACTGAGGAGACTGGGAGTCGAAGAAGTCACTCACCGCCCGTTTCACATCATCAACTTTGGTGAATTGTTTCTTAGCTAGAAAAGCCTTAAGGGGACGGAACAAAGTGGTAACAATGAAGGAGCTAGGTCAGGGGAATAGGGCGGGTGAGGGACAGTTTCCCAGCCCAGCTCCTCCAGTTTTTCCCGGGTCTCCTTTGCTATGTGGGGTCGGGCGTTGTCGTGCAGAAGGTGGACCGAGGCCCGTCTCGGCCGTTTTTCGCGAAGAGCTTCGGCGAGTTGGAGTGCGTAGATGGCCGGTGACGTCTGGCTTGGGCGATAGCATTTCGTAGTACAGGCATACCGCGCGCGTCCCAGAAGCAGCAAAGCAGACACTTCTGCGGGTGGAGATCGGATTTTGCTTGCGTAGGCGGCGATTCTCCTTGCGGGAGCCAGAACGCGCGGTGCTTATTGGCGTTGTAGAGGATCCAACTCTCGTCTCCAGTAACCAAGTCGGCGAGAAACTCCTTGCGCTGGGGGAGGAGTAGTGACTGACAGATGGCAACCCGAGTCAACCGCGGCAAGCAGTCAACTATGAGGGATCCATCGTGCCAGCACTTTCCCTGTACCCGAGAGCGTGAAGGCGGCCGACCTGTTGGTTGAGTACACCCAAGTCTTGTCGCAAGACTGCGGGTGCTGAGTTCCGGATCCTCCTTGACGGCGTCGAGAATGGCGAAGTCGTCGACTGTGTGGGGGCGTCCCGACCGAGGCTTATCTTCGAAGTTCGTGTCTCCTTCTTCGAAGCGAGCGAACCAGCGCTTGACCGTGCTAAGAGAAGTGGTGCCCTCTCCCAATGTGCTGTTGATGTTTTGAACGGTTGCCGTCGCTCCGGTCCCGCGAAGCCATTCGTAGTAGATGACGTGTCGAATTAGCTCTTGTGTGATGGCCATCGTGATTAAAGCTATAGGAAGCAGCCCAGCTTTATATACCCATTATGGAGAAGGTTCGAGAATGTTCTACAACTACCACTTGCTTGGTCATCGATATCGACCAAGATTCCAAAGTTCTCGAAATTTCAAAAAATTGGGTCATCTTTTTTTTATCACCCTAATATTATATAAGCAGTGAGCGCATCAAATCGTTCTAATTACAGTTTTTATTTATTCGTTACCGTCGTCGGGCAGCCCAATCAAGGAACGCATGTTGTACTCAAGTTGCAAGTCTCCATTTTTGGAAACTGCCACTCAATTAGGAATAGAATTGAGTAAAAAGGTTGGTTCGAATTGTCAACGATGAAATTTTTCACATTTATCGGATCTTTTCTGAAGAAGATACAGTAGCTTGTTAGGAACTACAGACCTCAACAAGCGTTGACGGAGCTTGTCAGTGTGACGTGATTTTGGCAGAGCGCCAGCTTGTTCTGCGGCAGTTAGAGCTATATGAGCCAAGCAATGATTGGTGAAAAATGAGCTGGCACCGCTCCTAAATCGGCGTCACACTGACACGACCCGTTAGTTTGTTGTTGAGGACTACATATTGATTGTGAGCTGTAAACGTGGTTGAGATCGCACGTCGCGGCAACGCCCACAAGCTAGCTACTGTTTCCTAGCTAGTTGACTCAACAAAATGCATAGCTCCTTCTTTGAGTGACTAATTCCTTAGCGAATAATACGTGTGCGACACAATTTCTATGAGAGACAAGATAATCGTAACATGCCGCGTTTGGGGCTTGGCGAGCGAAGACGCGCCCGGCGGACGAGTTCCCCTGCCTGCTTGCTTGAGGGCTGAATGCACAGGAAAATTCGATATCGTCCGCTATTGGGTCTCGTTTCGCTTGAATCGGTATGTATTTCATTGCTTCAATCGACAAAATGATACCCATAAGCTTGCCGCACGTCACACCGCGCGCGGCGACGCGACAGATTACGATTGTCTTGCCCGTCTCTCATTTCCAGCACCGCATTCGCAGCGTTGCCGCAACGTGAACATTCTTATCTGCATTCCCAGATCTTGAATCGTTTTTCAGATGGAGGTTGACGCTAAAGACGATCTTTCGGAGTCAGCTCTTCTGGAGTCGTTGCGTCCGGTTGAACAAGAAAGTCCG